CTCGCATTCATTTAAACTCTGCCAGTGATAGTTGGCTGAATAGGACCAGGTGAAGGTCAAGAGGTCATAGCAGCCGTTGCCGTTGATGCCACCGTATCTCAATATAGAATGCCACAGTTGTTTTCGCAATGTCCACACATGACCTGACATCCACGGCATTCAATTCCATAAGCGATGGATGAAAAGGATGATATTTTCTTCCACCGCGGTACTATGCTTAAATAAGCTAACATTACTTAAGAAGTAGTGCAGATAACTCAATAACTAGTTCTGTGGTGTGACAGTTGAAACATTTCGACCCCTAACTGATACTTGATGACACATGTTATAATTACACTGCACTTCATGCAATAATTTACAAGTGCTGTAAAGTTGCCTTGTACAATTTACATAATCAGTTAGCATGTTGTTAATACATATGGTTCAATTAAGTTACGGGATAGAATGAAGGTCAGAATATTTAAAGAGTCGCATGTAATAATGGTAATGCCCTTGCCTCTACCGAAGACAGCCTCATTGAGTCTCATGCCTCTTTTTTAGGAGGGTCCTTGCCATTGATAAATTTGACCAGTTCCACGAATAAATGTTTGTCTTCTGGGAGGAGATTGGAAAACCCAGAAAGACCTCCTGCACATAGATGGGAGCTGGTAATACTCAAAAGTGCCACAGAAAGATGAAATAATGAATTGCTAAACCTCATTCCCCATGCCTATGTAACCTGGTTTACGCAGGCAGTCTCAAATCCAAGCACCATCTAGTCTCAGCTTAGCTTCTGAAATCTGATGAGATCACATTCAGGCTGATTATTTAGTCATAGGTAGGTGCCAAAAAATACAACATAATTCAAGAATGCACCATCATGTTTCAAGGCAATGCAAAGTTTGCAGTCAAAGACATGTATACATAATACACATGTGTTGCGGACACATTGACTATAATTGTACAAATATACAGCCTAAGCGTGCACAGGAAGTCTCCTAGTAATGAACAGACATGCATAAGTGTGAGAAGCATTGGGGAAGACTAAACAGTGTCTGTTCTCAAAGATATACAACTTCAAGTACACTGATCAACTTAAATATAACGTAGGATCACTGTAGAGATCTGCAGCCAAGTATATTTCACCTCATGTTTAATTCTGGAAGAGATATCCTACTCATTGCTATATCTGTAATAAAGTACACAGTTAAATGTGGGATGTTCAGACATCACTCAGACACAAGAAACAACAAGTCACGAAACTTGTAATTTTTGTCTTGTTTATATTTTATATTTGCAGTTTCCTTTCCACCAGAATTTAGTCCAACAGCAATGTTTCACTCATTTATTTTTATTGCATTTTTTATAATGTTACTTTTGGTGCAGCCCGACGAAAGTCACACAGATTTCTCACGGTTATAGCAGCTGCACTGGGGTCAGTGCCAGTCCTATATTAAGAAAGGAATTATTTATTTATTACACAACAATATTCAGATTTAATACGTGGCCCAATGAAACATGTAATCTGATTAGGATTAAAAAAAAAGTTATATTGTGATTGTTATATTGTACAATATTGGTCAAGACTTGTTTTTTTTGTTTCTCTTAACTTAACTGTAAAGTACAGAATATTAAAACATAGATTTTATATTGAAATAAAATGTTTTAACTCATGCAAAATTTTTTTCCCAGAGTCTCAAGGCTCTTTTCACAAGGGTCCTGCATTGGGATGTTTAGTTTAATTGATTACATTGATGATCCAGCTGGCGAGGATTGGTAAAACTTAGTTAATAAATTTTTACCCAGGGAACTGGAGAGCAGTGCAGACTAAGTGTTTATAACCAATTCTGTTTTCCATACATCTTAGATTTGCACGGTATAGCCGAAATACATGGGGATGGATGAGATAGAGACGGGGTTTGTGACCACATTACTCTGCAGTCGATAGCCTGGTTGCTGAAGTTGTTATTTATTTAGCTTTTCCTCAAACTTTATTCCATGAATACCATTATACCATGGCACAAAGTTTCCATTTTCACCCGCGTCAACACGTGTTAGAAAATGTCCCACAGAAGCGGACTTCACAGAGCTTCTGCTGAAACCCTTTGAATCGATCTTACGTTTCATACACATGCACTATCCTACACTCCCTGATAGAGAGATGTGTGTGTTGTATGGTTGTCTCACTGGTATTTAAATATCACAGCTGGAATGTAATCAAGTTGAGTGGAAGACGTAATTTAACGACAGTTTTTTTTTCGAACGGCGACCATTAACTTAATACACCTAAGCACCCAGTGGAATTAAGGGTGGCTGCCCAGATTTGAACCCAATATCTAAAAGTTGCTGGTTCACTGCTCTGACCCCTGAGCTACCCAACCACCCAACGTAAATTTTAAAGTGATATATGCATGTAAAGTATTTACTTAGTGCTGGGGACGTTTTAATGGGTGACCAGATGACTCAGTGTCAAGAAACCATTTTAAAGAGGGCTCAGCAGAGAAATTGAAATAGCCTTTGTTCAAGTATATCCTCCACCACCATCGCAACTAGTGTCGGTGTGAAACACCGCTATGTTCACCATTGGTGCCTCATTTGCCAGTAAAAAATATGATAATTGGTTCTTTACCCTTTTATCTGGCAACAAAACTGACACCGCTATGTTCATACACATTTGCCTTGCCCAAGTGAAATACTCAATACCGTTACAGCAGCATCAGTTCAGACCGCTCGTCATTATAGCATCGCCATTATTTTGTTAACAAAAAATGTTTTTGTATTAATGACAGCAGTCCTACTCAAAGATACGTTCTTGTACAGATCTGTTATGCTTGGGTTTGTCCCAATCAGGTTTAATGAACACCATTACATTAAACGCTACCGAACTTGCGCAACACGTGGAACCCATTTGCGATGCATGTGGTTTCAATGGCTTTGTACTTGGCTCGCTGTCATTTTCCAAAGTGGACATCCTTGAAGAGATTATTGTAAGCACGTGCCATTCCATGCAGTGACCGACTGTAACATCCACACAGGAATGCCTGCGTGTTTACGTGGTTGCAGGAGGCTTGTGAGATTTGATTTGCTTGCAGTGGTAAACTATGTGGTTCAATTTGAAGAGAAAGCAAAGACAACGAAGACGTATTTTCGTGAGCGAAACTGCCCCCCCCCCTCCCCCACAAAAAAGAGTTTAATTAAGAAAGAAGTAACAACGTTTTGGGCAAAACATCCTTCACTTCGATTGCAGTGTAAATTATCTTCATCGTTACACTCTGCGTCACCTAGTTTGTATCTTACTCATACTTTAACCACTGCAAACAATTTAACTGATATCTGATTTATTTTTGGCATTTGCTATTTTTTGCAACTATTGTACTTTTTGCTGTCGCTGTGTTTTTTCAATCGCTTTTGTAACCAAACTCTCCCCTGAAAATACTATTTGAAGTGACAATAGGCTCTTACCCAGTTATATATATAACACTTTTTTTGTTTAAATCATTCTATGCTACTCACTGTGTGAAGACCGGTATTAACACACCAATACACTAATTGGCTCCATTTGTTATGGACAATAAATGAAATTAAATCTTGTCTCCCCTAAACGTGACTCAAAGTCTCACCACTGAGCATACTGTGACAAAGCCTTCCAACAGGCCTTGGTGTAAGACTGAGCTGTAAGTAAATTCAAAACAGTTTACAACAGCGTGGAAATGTTACCACTGGCAAAGAACATCCTTTTGGAAGCCAGCACAACTGGTAACTAAAGCAGATATTGCCTCTGTGCATCATCTTTCCAGCAACTGGACTGATCAGATAAAGTATTGTACATCTTGACGAAAACATTTGCCTCTGTTTTATGTTCGAGGGGGAATACGATATAAGTCCTCCGCCACCACTCGACCACCAGGCTTCGGCCTACAGCCATGCCATGCATGGACATGGCACAGATGCAGGAGGACACCGGGACACGGAGATACAGAGACACTGGGGCACGGGGGAGGACATTGGTAGATGGAGTCATGCATGAGCTTTTACTGGACCAATTTAGCACGGAAAAGTTTACTGGATGGCCAATGAGGCCCGATGGGGCATCCGGGAGAGCCGAGGCTATGTGGACAGGAGCAGAGTTCGGCACATATAAGGGGTGCCATGGTGGCAAGATGTTAATTACCTCGCCTGGTATGCAGGAAGTCGTCGATTCCATCCCGACTCTTCCAGTGGCTGCTTGGAATCTTCTCCTGGTCTTACCAGTTTTTCCCTCCACATTTAGAATCAATGTGCGTTTAAAGTAGTTGGTCGCAATATGTTTAACTCAGCTTCGTTGAGTTATCATTTGTGGCCAGGCCGCTTCTGAACTAAGAACTATATATCTCCGTGGGCCTCACCTGGTGAAATAAAAACAAAATAGTTTAGTTTGTTAGTTGTATAATGTGGAGGAGGATCGTTCTCTGAGAAATTGAACGGAGGACTGAGAGCACGAAGCACTGCACATGACACTGTAGCCTGACTCAGCCAAGTACGCATAGGTGGGCATGACTCGCTGTAGGTGTGTGCATTAAATTCTAGATTTGAAACTTTCGTGACTGCAAGGATTCATACTCTTAGTTTTTTTTTCGGTAAAGTCACATAGGTAAAAAATGAAATTTAAATTAATAAAAATAAAATAATAAATAATCACGACATTTCGGAGGCAACACAAGTCTCCGTCATCAGGTGGGACCGTCACAGCCAGATTTGCTGTATCAAGTCACATAGGTACAAAATGAAATAAAAAAAATTATAATCAAAAATCACGACGTTTCGGAGGCAACACAAGTCTCCGTCATCAGGTGGGACCGTCACAGCCAAATTTGCTGTATCACTTGATATTACTTTTTTATTAATTTTATAAAAATTTTTACCTACGTGACTTTACCGAAAAAACTAAGAGTGTGTGTGTGTGCATTTGTCTGTGCGTGCATTCGCTTGAACTGTTTGCAAGCAGTCTTATGTTTCTCTTCGCTGCGCCCTTCTGCAAGCAGACCGCCCGCGTTCCCAGGCAGCGAGCGTCCGTTACGCGTCGGCCAGCCGTCCACAGCTGGCGAGGGCTCGGCCCTGCCGAGGGATCACGGCGAGGGGAACCCATCGGCTCAGGAGAGGAGCGAGGGGGGTGGCGAGAGCCCCCAGGCACAGACTCGGAGATACAGCTGCGGGGAGGCACGCAGGGAGGAGCGCCGTGATCTTCGGTTTCATAGGTGCTCACCTCTGCTTGTGTCGCTCCGATCATCCGTCTGTTCATCAGTCCATCTTCCTGTCATTCCGTCAGTCCGTTGCCCGTCCGTTCGCCCATCCGTCTGTCCATCCATCAATCCACGTCTCTTGCTGCCACTCCAATAGTCTCTTCTGTCCACGGCAGCCGTTTTCTGTCACTTCATCAAAATGTCCATTTGTCTAACTTATTGGCTGTTCGGCCTGTCTATAAATACATCCATCTCTCACTGCATTTGTCCATCTGTGTTACTCTACGTATGTATGTACGTCTGTCTCCCTGTCTGTCTATCCACGGTGTCTATCTGTCTCTCACTCCTGTCATTGTGGGCTCGACGGCCTTTGTTGAGGTGTCTTTGGCAAGGGAATCCTCGATCTTGTTTACTGCACGTTCGGTTCATACGCAATGAGCAGCTGAGGGTCGTGCAGCAAAATGCACAAACTCACACTGACAAGCGTGGTGAAGTATGGTCAAATATCTCCCATGAGGCTACCATTCAGCAGTGGCTTGACGTAGAGCTACGCATGATTACGTACACATACACATCCGTTCATATGCTTACTCGTGAGATTTCCCTGTCGAGCTGGTTTTGAAAAAGATAGTGTAGAGGGCTTTTTGGCAGGATCACATTCGAACTGCAGTGACTTTACCACATTTATGTTTCCCCCTAAATGTATAATAAGTGAAAGCATAGCCCCTGGAAAAATAACATTAGAGCCTGATTAGCGTACTGGAAAGTGTTTAAAGTCAGTGGCAAAATATACATTTAATCACAACAGAGTGAGTAGCAAGGCTCGGTACGACGCAATCATTGCACTTTCATTAAACGCAGCGCACATTAAACAATGCATCATTACCCAACTATGACCACCATTATATATAATTAGTGACTAACGGTGGGCAAATCTGTGCACCCCAATTGAGAAAATTAGTGAGCAAGAAAAGCCCACAATTGCTATGAAACGAGCGTGACACAAAGTGCAACATGCACACTCACAATAATAACAAGGCCGTTAAGGTTATTGATATCCGGCCAAATTTGTCACATTTACACGTGGTTGTGGTGCGTGCCTGTGACGTACTCCGAATGAGGCCGGTAAACAGCGACGTCACCAAACCAAGGCAGCCAGTCACACATCATCATGGCAAGTGGCCGTCACGCCATCAATGCTGCACGCGCGCGTGCGTGCGCGTGCGTGTGTTCTGCTTGCTTCTAATAAGTATAACCCGTAAAAACAAAGTTTTTCACTATAAATCCTTTATATGCGTGGCGGCTAGAGTCGTCTCGTCCTCTGGCTTGAGATGGCTGCCACCTATGGGTCAGATGATTGTCTGCCAGTATTAAGCAATTGGTAATTAAATATTTAATTTGTTTTCCCTAAACAGTGTAAAATTTTTGAAATTTTTTTCACGAACATTAATTGTCTCGCACAACGAGTCTGTGTGCAAAATGTCAGCTCGATTGGATCACGGGAAGTGGGTTAAAAAACGACCGAAAGATTTGCATGGTCGTAAGCAAGCAAGCAAGCGAACTTAATATAAAGGATTTAAAAAGGCTCATGATCACCTCCCTCTTTCACTCTCGTACCATTTTTCCAAAGCCATCGTCGATGTGCCTGTTTAACACGTAGGCTTTCGCGACCAACATGATTCACGTAAATTATAATATAATTTGGGTTAGATCGTGCCTATATATAAATGTGTCAAATCACCTGATGACGCTGGTTGCAATCACCAGCGAGAAACATCGTTCTCGAATTGTAAAATGTTATGGGCTTACTCTCCAACACACCTGTGCTCTGAAGTAGTAACTTGGCACTTATTTTGTTTTCGTGACAAACAATACAAATTGGCTGTGTCGGGTGGTGTTGGGTTAGCGACACATTGATTTTCACCCTATCTAACCCGAAAAGCCATCGTTGATGTGTCTGTTTAGTCCGAAGCGGAGTTCTTGGCCACTTAGAGTACATCAAGATCACAAACATGCAACCACAATTATAGATTGTCCCATACGAAGTAAAGTATTGCGACAGCTGTCACGTGTGTTTGCTGGGATGTTTCGCATGTTGTTCTGAACCATGTGGGACTGGAGCAAAAAGTCGGACATTGTGGCAAGCAACACACATATTCTTAGTTTTTTTCGGTAAAGTCACGTAGGTAAAAACTTTAAATTAATAAAAGTAAAATAAAAATTCAATAAAAATCACGACGTTTCGGAGGCAACACAAGCTTCCGTCTTCAGGTGGAACCGTCACAGCACGATAGCTGTGCCTCCGAAACGTCGTGATTTTTATTTTATTTTTATTTTACTTTTATTAATTTAAATGTTTTACCTACGTGACTTTACCGAAAAAACCTAAGAATATGAATCCTTGCAGTCACGAAAGCTTCAAATCTAGAATTAAGCAAAACACAACCCAACATAACATGAAACGGCTAGATAGGATATCAGCGAATAATAGTAGGATAGATAAATTAAAATGCTATTTGTTTTCCCCAACTATAATTCATGGGCATTGTGTAATTGTGTAATACGGTATATGTGCAACGGGATGGGCGTGACAGTTTTTGCATTTGCCACTAGGCGAGGCTGTGTGGAATTCATGTGTACAGGGAATTATCAAGCCTGAGTGTTCTGCATCAGGTAAAGGGGCAATAACATTCCCGTTATACTACTGCTTTTGAAGGAGATGCCCAATTTGTGTGCCAGCGTCTTCCTCATACATTGCCTAAATGTAAAAAAAAATACACACATTAAGACTATAACATAAAACCTGTCAAGGTTAAGGTGCAGCCCTGCAATTATGTGCTCATGCCACTGCTGTCAGAATGGCCTCCACCAAAGGGTGAGGCCCTCTAGAGGGTATTTTGGCCTACTTTTCCAAGCTGATCAGATTAAAACAAACAGTAATGTATGCGTCATAGATTTTCAAACGGCTTTGAGATTAAGATGTTAAAATTACATCAACGGACATTTATTTTTGGAAGTGTACAGTAGTATCATCAACACACACTCATCAATATTTGATTGCGTTAACGTCAAAATTTTAATTATTAAAACGCTGTAAGGCTACGAATGACGCAGGAAGGCTTTTTAGTATCTCACCCTCAATGCTGTAGTGCTACCCAACATTTATTTACGTGGCTTATGGGAGCTAAATCACCTCTTCTGACTGGGTTTCCAAAAATTCTAACGGCTGCACCTATCCAAACCATCCATCTCATAAGCAAATCTTTCTGAAGATGACTCTGCGCCACTCGGGCGAATTCCAACCCACACGTTCGTGCCTTTGAATTTGTGTCAAAAGCCTCAAGGGACCCCCGGTTCAGCTTAACGTCTAAACGGCCCACTTCAATAACGGGCCGAGCGCTTCATGGAATAACGCTGGTAAAATAAACGAAACGCAACAATGTCCCGTAGTGATTACAGGTACCACCATTACCCGTTGCTTTGCCGCGAGGGGGCAATTCATGTGGTTTGGCTTACAATCAGATTTAGTACGGGCGCTGTGTCTCAACCGCCTTCTTCTGAGCGCCTTAATGAGCTGCGTAGGAGAGGGGTTATTAAGAACATAAATTGCATGTTATTCTGCCTTTCCAAAGTCAGGAAATGATTGCACGAGGGAGTGTTTTTTTCCCCCTCACACAATGGGACTCAGTGTTTCTGTGCTGCAACCCCCCCCCCCCCCCAGCCTTTTGTGAATTTGTGAATTATTTATTTTAGAAATCTCACGAAATTTTCTCTTGATATACAGTATTCCATGGCACGGGCTCCCAAAACCGCAGTTGATGTAAAACAACAAAGACGGCAACGTGTTGTGGCGTTTTAGACGTTGCTTCTTCATGGGACTTGCGCACACATTTCGATGAGTTTTTTTAAAGTTAAAAACAGATTCACTGAATGTTCTACTAAGGCCTCTTAATGATTCCTCATTTGTGGCTTTCTTAAGCTTTCATTTTCTTAATTCCAGTTAATTTTATTTTATAGTTTTGTGCTTTCATAATTTGTAAAGATCCTAACGACAACTTGCGAAAAGCGTTTTAAGAAATAGATATTAATGGCTTTTAAGACATTTTTCATTCATGAAAGTCAATGTGTGATTCACACTTTCATACTTATGTACACTTTAAATACGCTAACGTGCCGTTACCAGTCACTTGTTCGCTGGATTTTCCAGACACATGTCCCTTAAAAAATATTTTTAAAACATGAGTCTCACTGCATCGTGTGCTATTTGCCAGATCTAAAAGCCTGGGCCTCTACGCCTTGCGCTCCAAAACCATTAACTCGGACGACGAGAGGAACACAGAGGACGATGCAGAGAGTGGACCTCAAGCTGAAGCTCATGCTGATCAATCTGCGGACAAGGTAGACGCCAGTGGACCCTCGGAGGAGCCAGTGGAAAGGAGTGAGGCAGCGCCCGGTGCCTCCGTGGAGGAGCAGACGGACGTCGTCACTGCTCCGCCAGCGAACCAGAAGGCCGATGGCAGCCCGGCATTGGCGGAAGAGAAGGACACAAAGCATGTGGATGAATCACACGAGGGAAGCAATGGGTCTCTTCCCCACCACACTGCACGAGGGGATGAGGAGGTGGAAAATGCGACCGATGGAAGGGACACAATTGTGGAGGTTGAGACCGTCGTTGAGATCGAGCCCCAGGATGGTCTCTATCGCTACATGAAGGACAACCTGAAGCACATACGAGCCTATTGTGCTGATGTCACCAAGAAGATCCCAGTTCCTGAGCGCTGTGTTGTTGAAGGTAAGCTTTTGTCTAATTTTTGTCACGTGGGAACTTTTGCAATCTCTTTCTGCGTCGTCATTGCTGTCATTTTCATTGTAACCGCTGTCACCGCCATTTTCATCATTGGTTCAGGAAGCATCACCATCAATGTCCACATCATTATAGTATTTAAAATAGTAATTATTTTATTTATGTATGAAATCATCACTGAGTCCCAAGGTTCTTTGTCAAGAGGGTGCCACGTTCAGATGTTAGGCAAACGCCAGATTTTAAACTCAATGTTTATTATCATGGGACCTATTATAATTATCAGAGTTTATTTGTTTGCATGTTTACCGCAAGTACGTGTGGTTAATGCAGGCTTGATTCCTTGCAAAAGGTTTCTTTATGGTTTTATTGGCAGAAAGGGTAAAACCAATTCTTATTTTTCAACGTTTAATCTTTGTTCATCAGTACAATAACCATTGTCAAACACGTGGGGGATAATCGTAATTGTAAAAAAATTCGATTCATATTATTTCTCAGCTTCATAAAATAAACTGTAAAAATTAGTGGATACAAAAAAAACGTCGTACACTCGCGGTGAAACGTGCGATCATTGCGTTTATTTCGCCGTGCCCTCGATTCGCACGCGGCATTACACTCAACGTTACCGTGCCCTCACGATTGCAGGCGACGTTAAGCAGCTGCAATTACTCGCAAAGCAGTTAGTGCCAAATGAATACCAACAGTGGCGTGCGTATGCTGTGCCTAACTTCGCATTGCCCGTTAAGCCGTTACGTGAGATCATGCATTGCATCATTGGCGGGGGGGGGGGGGGATGCTGTGTTTGTGGATATGTAGTGACTGACTCAGAGCCACTAAGAGTAGGAGGCACTCTGTTTATTAACACGGCCTAACAGTTAACACTTTAGTAACTACGGTCCCCAGTCAGGACAGCTGGTAGACTGCCTGACTGGCGACGCCGAGATGGTGAAGACTCCAGCAGCACGACGGAGATCCACTCCAAACGACAGCCCCGAGGTCCCCTCCCGGGGCCCCTTTTATACTGTCAGCGTGGCCTGGCTCCGCCCCTAGACACGCCCCCTTCTGGAACCTACCTGCGGGTTCTCGATGTGCCCCTTCCGTAACCTTTCCCCTACATCCCTCTATCTGGTCTATCACGTGGCCTGCTGTCAGTCAGGGCTGCTGTAAGCTGCAGATCCCCTTCCCTGCCAGCAGCCAGCGCTATGCTGCTACGTACTGAACTGTTTAGTCACAGGGAAGGTCGGGGTAGGATTGTGATGTCGTCCATTCAAAGGAGAGAACAGCGACAGCTGTGACAAGGGCCCGCGCCTAAGTGGCACTCGCTGCAGAATAATCGGGCAGTGAGTTCACGAGCGAGGCGACTGAAACACAGCCACCATTGAGCACAGGGTGCTGGTGATGCGTGAGTCTCATCCGGCAGCGCCAGGGGTTGAAATAAAACAGCTCAAGGAAACCACCCCCCCCCCCCCCATTTTTACTACAACGGCGGGCGCAGTCAAGCAACAGACCTGTGAGCTTTGCAAATCGGGCAATGTTCCCTCGTGTTGTAGTGCACGTAATTCTTGGCTGTGGATGATACGTTACAACATTGAGGGAAGGAATAACATGGAGCCATTATCGTACCACGCAAAACAAGTGAGATTTGTGACATGACACGGGGCAATAGTCGCCGAGGGTATTACTGTTGGTGGTGCTTATATAATTTGCTTACCACCAGCTAAAATATATATATATATATAATTATTGGAAGAGCCATGTCATGTTTTACAAAAGAGCATGTTCAATGTTTCGGTCATGTTTTGCCGTGGTTAGGCTCTGCCTAAAGAAACAAGTGAGGAATATGGCCCTTTGCCTAACTAACATTTTGCCAACGTACCATACATTAATATAGATGTAATAATCAAACGCCGTTCACTTATATTTAGCCTCCTACAGGTTTTTACTGGCTTGACAGACAAGCACAGTCTGTGCCAAGCACGGGTACTCTGACCTGTTGGTTTTGCTGCACAATCGTGGTCATTATGTGCACAGAAAAAAACTTTCCATTGCTGGGAAATGATCAAAATTTCCATGCTGGTGGGGGGCAGGGGGGTAAAAGTGATTTTTTTTGCAAACATAACTGCGGAAACACAAACTTCCCATGGAACTTCACGCCAAAACAAACTGCCCGCGGAGCGTGACACGTGACGCATTTACCTTTGCTACGATAATTGAAACATTGATATATGGAACAGGTTCGTCTGGAAACTAATTTTGGTAGTAATCCTCGTTTGAGTGAAATTATGGGAGGCAGAAAATGTATCTTTGGCAAAACTAAACTCATCAAATTGCAGTGCACTTCCTGACTCGTTGATTTACAGATAGGGTGGTAATTCTACACACGAGGAGAGGCAGGTTATGCGTTTTAATGTTATGAAAACAAAAACGTATAGTTTAAATCGTATAAATATTTTTATTAAAATCTGGGCATTTTGCAAACTTTCATTTGGCCCCACGTATGCTTATAAATCATGTCATCTGCATCTCCTCAAAATGCTCTTAACAACTTTTACTCTATGACATTTTGATCAAGTGATTTCTCGTTTTTGATATCATTTGCAACGCTTGGTCGGTTTTTCTCAATTATTAACCTCACAATGCACAAGCGCTTTTCCTTGTTTTAATTAGTCGCCTGACCTACTGTGGTGCTATCTGATCTCGCCGTTCCATATGTTTGGCTCTTATTAAATGTCAATGAATCTGAACGTCATTAATCGCATACTTTTCAGATTATCCGATGCCCATGCTAACCGACCGGGTGGGCCCGTGTGGTTAGACATCGTGGCTAACACTCGGAAAGCGGCGCATTCTTAACGTTCGTCGCGGGTCGACTCAGCCCTTCGTCCCTCCAGGGTAGTAGTGCTTCACCTGGGTTGCACGCGCCCCTCCGGTGTGCGAGATGCCCTTTCTGGGGGTGCGACACACGCCAGATTTTATTTAGTAGGTAAATAATCGTCGGAAACACACATTAAGCACGGGCATATAAGTCCAACTGCTTTGTTTCATGAAACCCTATGTAGTTCTCACATTAACATCACTAGCCCTGGCCACTTCTCTATGATCCTTGGGCTACACCCATTTCAAACCTTTTAAAACAGTCTGCCTCAGTAGCAGACCAATGCTTTCCCACCTGATGACGGACGCTTGTGTTGTGCCCGAAACGTCGTGATTTATTTTCTACCTACGTGACTTTACCGGAAGAACCAAAGAGTATGGATTCCTGCAATCACGAAAGCTTCAAATCAAAATTGCGACTATGTAGTTATTAACATTATAAAAAAAAATTTACGATTGAGAACCAAAGGGGTGCAAGGCTGCAGCTGAGGGTAAGAACCACTGCTCTAGGGCCTCTAAATGAGTACAACTTTTGTGGGAAGTCAACATTGTTTGTTCTATGGCATAATTTGATCTTCCCCTCGATAGGAATGTCTAAATTCCACCTATGGCCTTGGACTGCAAATATAAAATGAACACCATCCCATACTCATTTCAGCAGGAAACCACTTTTAACTGTTAACGTAATGCCTATGTGGCACAGGGTGTCAGGCAGGGCTCTGAGATAAGCCCCCCCCCTCCTTCCTTCCCATTGATATCCACATCAGGGTGTAATTCATTACATCCCTTGCCAATATGGGCGGTCAGGACTCGGCACGGCATGTGTCCAAGCTGTGTAATGCCGAAGCTTCCACCCGCCTTTCAGGCATGCACATCCTTCAAGTTGTGCAGCCTCTGATCTGGCTGTCACCAGTTGGGGGGAGCCATTGGGGATACACGCAAACCTCTGTACATTGCAGACTTAGGGACCGAGTGTCACACTTCTTGTGTACAGGTTTTTGGTTGGGAAGTTTTGAGACAAGTTCAAGTTAATGTATTAGGTATAGCCCTGTGAGCCATTCGGCTCTTGAATCGAGTGCAACCGCAACAAACAAAAAACAAAAACATGAACAAAAAACATCTTAAAGTGAATATGTGACTAAGTGCAAACAGAAAATCTAAGAGAAAGACAGCAAAATATTGCAGAAAAAACACCGTACACCAACACTGTGTGCAAAAATCCCAGTGGGATGCAAGTCAAACAACAACAACAACCACAAGACAACTTAGATTAAGGCCATCAGTCGAACTCTGTACTACAACAAACAAACATGGCTAAACCAATACACTTTAGAAATCACCAAAATAAAGCTATGAAAGCAATGAAAAAGCAATCATAGGAACTGTGACATGGAACGTACCTGGAAGAAGCGTTTGCATCCACCGCTGTGCGCATGCCGACACCCGAGTCAACTGACAAATTTGATACGATTTTCAATGCGGAGTCACCGAACTGGGAAGTGATGCCTTGATAGTGGGATGAACAAATACGGGACTTCAACTCCAGACTGCAGTAGTTTTCTCTGGACTAAGTCACTCAAACTACAAGCTTCGTGAGGCAGTGCTGCTTTTCGTCTCCTCTCGCATGTAACGACCAAATGTGTCAATCCACTCTGCTGGATGAGGGAGTCCCCACACCGTCCCGAGTGTGGGGGTTGTTTGACCACACTTTACCACACTGGTCAGTGCAGATTAGTGAAGAACTAGGCTCCAAAGAAAGCTGTCTCTGGTGTGGACCAATCAGTTCAAATACAATGCATATATTATCAAAGTATGTTTTTTGTTTGCATTCTGACCACAAGCATTGTGGTTAATTCAGACATGATTCCTTGTATAAGGTTTCAGTTTGGTGTTTTAACATCTTAACACAGCTGTTTTGTTGCCAGAAAAAAGGGGAAAACCCATTCTCAACGGTACCATATTGACACGTAGGCGTTTCGCAACCAATATTATTCATAATAAAGTTTTTTTTTGGGTTAGATCGCGTAAATATAAATATATCGTTAACCCGCCACCACCCGACACAGCCAATTAGTAAGGCTTGTCACGTAAACAAAACGTGCCCATTAGTTACTACTTCAGCCACAACGTTTACATTTTGAGTCCCGTGACGTTTACAATTTGAGTACGGGCTGGATGTAATCATTCTGGCAAAAAATTGCCCGATGATGCTGGATGTAAATGACAGCATAGACTTTGTAGCGTAGGAGTAGAGCACAATAAAAAAATTTTCTCTGTGCTACGCCTTCCGCTGTCCACCACCTCGCCCCACGGTCTATAACACCTGTTATGCATGGTGGTCGACTATCCGAGCACTATCCCGACTTGACTCCCTCCACTTAGATGCTGAGATGTGACGAAACGGGGCGCATTTGCAGGTGATTTAGTCACATGTGGGTTGTCTTCTTGCGTGCCCGTAACAAGAACCACACCCGGCACCTGCCAGAGGTCGCAAATGGGTTTTGATTCCTTACCCGTACCCGGCCGCACCAGGGTCGCAAACGGGTACGGGTAGGGTACGGGTATCGGGTACCTGATTGCGACCTCTGGGATGAAGCCATGTTGCAGGCGCGGGTGGGTTGATTCTAGGAACTTGAATTGTGAGAAGAGACAAGACGTTGGGAAATGAGTGACAAACGGTTACTCACCAGTGACTCACGGCCTACCCGTATCCGTACCCGGCCGCACCAGGGTCGCAAATGGGTACCCATACCCGTACCCGGCCAGGTACGGGTACGGGTACCCGTTTGCGACCCTGGTAGCCGGGTATCGGATAGGGTACGGGTATCGGGTACCCGGTTGCGACCTCTGGCACCTGCTCCCTAAGCCACCCCATGTCTCACTCACGCTCGCACCGAGTAAATAAAACTTGCTCGGCTAATTCTTGATGAACCGTATTTCCGCAGGGCGGATTAATGCTGAGCAAGGTTTCGGAGGAACTACATAGTCGCAATCTTAAAAAAAAATTAACACGTGTTCCTCATTTTTCTTTCGTTTAGTTTATGGTAATCATTAAAAAAACATTCTCTAGAATATTGCTTCGGAATAGAAAACAGATTTTTGTGAAACGTAGTTTATGGCAGAATTTTGTGTATGTCTAATCACGGAAAGACACCCATATGTCGGACCGGTGGGATTTAAGACATTGTCTTTCATTCCAACGTAGACTTCACGACATAAAACATGATATTACTGCGATTGGACACTTTTTAAAACAATGCATTTTGCTGCACTGCCCCTGTGGTGTTCACCACAAATAAGTGGAACATGTTGATGGGCATCAATTTGGAACACAGTTCCACCAGGAATTTGGAAAATGTAGCAAGAGTATCGTACATTCTTGCAGTTTTTTGTAAATGTATTTAAAAAAATCAATTATCCTTATACAAAATATCATTGCGCATTGCAGAAATATGTTCAGGAGCTAAATTCCAATGTCTCTTGGTCACGACGAGAGGGCTTTCAGCAGAGTGAGTTTGTGCAGTTTTGCTTTGCCTCTTCCGTTGACGCAGCGCGGACCCCACAGCGGTTTACTATGTGATCCATCTTCTCGACAGACCTGTTCTGTTCTCCACCTGAGGACGGCTGCTTGCGTTGTGGCCGAAACGTCGTGAGAATTATTTTATTATGTTTTATTTTTATTATTTTATTATTTCCATTCTACGTGACTTTACCGAAAGAACCAAGAAGATGAATCCCTGCAGTCAAGAAAGCTTTACATCGAAATTTATGTGATCCATATTTTGGGTTGCGTGGTTACATTCGGACCATGGCTTATCTTTAGTGTAACTATGTGTATCTCTATGAGCCTCTGTGTGTCTGTATGAGTATCTCATCTTAAATGAATGTATATAGCACCTTAACCAAGGTGCTATGTACACATAATTAATAAGGGTACATATGAATGTAATGGTAGAGATGAGGTGAATGAAATAGATGAAAGGGAGCAATGGGGGGGGGGGGGGGGGGCGAATCTGTGACGCGTGAATTCGGTGAAAGTGAAATTGACGGCAGTAGATGATGGTGAATGGATTGAATGAATGAATGGGGAATGGGTGAGAGCCATATAATGGGAGTATGAAGAGGGAACAGTAGCGGTGGTGGTGGTTACGAGGGGGAGACTGAGGGGTCGTGGGGTGAGCGAGTGGTAACGATAAGTGAGTTTTGAGTGCGGAGTGGAAACTTAGTGAGCGAAGGTGACTGCTTCATGTGGAGGGGGGAAGTTTGTTCCAGTGAAGGGGGGCGAGAAGAGAAAGAGCGACGAGCGAGATTGAGCACAAGGAGATGAAGGAGCAGAGAGAGACAGCAACGATTGTGAAGGTAGAGGGCGAGAAGGCACGTAGAATGGTACAAGCGTGGCAAGAAATGGTGGGGTAAGTCCATGACGGGATTTGAAGACCAAGGCGAGGGAATTTGAAACGGGAGCCAGTGCAGTTGCGCGAGGAGGGTCGAGGTATGGGAATTATAGGGAAGGTTGAATATGATTGGAGCAGAGTTGTTTTGGAATTGTTGAAGAGGAGCCCGAGCATAAGAGAGTTGCGGTAGTCCAGACGGGTATGGATATGCATCTCCTATGAGCCTCTATGGGTTCACTGTACTGTCCGTAGTTTGAGTTGCATGGCCACAGTCGCACCAACGTGGCTGTATGTTTAATTTTCCTTTTGTGAAGGTGATGTGCGGGTCGGCCAGCTGTTGATGTAAAACAATTAAAACGTTATGTTATTTCATTTTAAAATATATTTTTTATCATGTACCCTGGCACAATCAACAAAAGTGTTCCTATTTAAAGCTTTCGTGACTGCAGGGATTAATCTTCTTGGTTCTTTCGGTAAAGTCACGTAGAAGGGAAATAATAACATAATAAAAATAAAACATAATAAAATACAATTCTCACGACGTTTCGGCCACAACGTAAGCAGCCGTCCCCAGGTGAAGAACAGGGCTGTCGGAAAGACAGCGTCTTCAGGGCCGAAACGTCGTGAGAATTGTATTTTATTATGTTTTATTTTATTTATATTATTATTTCCCTTCTACGTGACTTTACCGAAAGAACCAAGAAGATGAAAAAGTGTTCCTATCAATAAATAATATTGGAAGTAATAATAGTAATAAATATGGAGCTGCGACATGTCCTGGTGGTAGCTCGTTCACCACTTGTTGCAGAGGTTCACAGTTCGAATCCAGTGGGCCGCCCTGATGAATACTATGCGCGTATTAACCATGAGATGCGTGACATCTGCTTTACAGCGGACGTTTTATCGGATTCCCGTGACGTCATTCGCAATAATAAGCCACTGTGTGCCAGCGTCAGGGGTCCACATTTTGGGAATGATACGTAACGGAAATCATCGCCTCCCTGTTCCAAAATAACTTGGCAGGACCTTCTTGAAAAAGAGTCAAGCGACTCAGTGAGGCTTTCCTTGGTAAACAAGCACAATAATAATACTGTAGTAATAGGTTTTTACCCTTTCAACTGGTACAAAAACTGACACCTTTATACAAGGGATCATATTTGCAATAACTATAACACAAGCAGTCAAAATTAAAACAAAAAGAAACAACTGTGATGATGATAATGATATGCACTGTCCTTGAAGTCGATTGGTCCACACCTGAGACAGCTTTTCTTAGAGCCTAGTCTCCATTGGTGTTGGACCAGATGGCGCCAAAAGGCGTACAACTTAATAACAGCACACTATCAAAGTATTGAGAGCTCGGGGTAAGCATTTACACTATGAGACCTCCTTTACCAGTGGCAAAATATAGTGATAGGTTTTTACCCTTTCAACTGGTACAAAAACTGACACCTTTATACAAGGGATCATGTTTGAAATAACTACAACACAAGCAGTCAAAATGCAAACAAAAAGAAACAACTTTGATAATGATAATGCTATGCACTGTCCTTGAAGTTGATTGGTCCACACCCGAGGCAGCTTGTCTTAGAGCCTAGTCTGATTTAATTTGATTTAATTTATCAAATGCACAAACTGCAGGGGGAGGGGTGGCGTATGGGCCTAACACCTTGTCAAATTCAGGCAGCCACCCATGAACCTTGTTCTCAAGTGGAGCCTTCTTGCAGGCACGAAGCGTAACATTAATATTCGGTTGTCACTGAAATGGGCTCATTCCAGTTTCTAAAACATTGAGTTTCATTGAAATGCGGCAAACACGCCTAGCATGGTTTATGAATGTGTGCCACAAAGTGTTCATGAAGATGACTGTTGAGGGGGCTTGAGTGGGTTGTTCTCTGATGTTAGCTTTCAAAAGTTGTGACCGAGTGTGTGTTCTCAATGGAAAGCTTTGTTTGTTCCATGGTTAATACCACGGTTGAAGTGTGAAATTATTTAGAGAAACATGCACGCACGAATGTAAAAATATACAACTGAAAAAAAGAAATCCTCTCCTGTGGAAAATCTACTTGCTTTGACTTGCCTGAAATCCGGTGTATGTATGTATGTTAAACTCATTTTGCATTGATAATTGTTTTTTCTTTACCCTTTTATCTGGCAACAAAACCGACACCTTTTTTTTACGAGGAGTCATGTTTGCATAGACCACAATACCTGCAGTGCAAACATGACTCCTCGTAAAAAAAGGTGTCGGTTTTGTTGCCAGATAAAAGGGTAAAAAAAAAAACATTTATCGTATTTTTTACTGGCAAATGAGGTACCAATGGTCATTTTGCATTGTACGTAGCCAGGCGTGCTAATTGGAGGTGCGTTCCGCAGAGCTTGCATCCCGCTGCTTGTTCAAGCTGAGCTTCGGGTGTCCCAAGAAATCTGAGTACTGCCTCTACTCCAAGTCGCACTTCTCCCTCCCATCTCGGCAGCCACAAACCTGGCTCCACCTCATGACCCTCTTCTTACAGGTACCCACACTCAGAGCTGTGAGAAGAGCACTGCCACATTCCATCCAGTAACTATGAAACTATTGAAACTCATTTTATTTTACCAGGTAAGGCCCACTGAGCTATATGGCTCTTATTCAGAAGCGACCTGGCCACAAATGAAAGCTCAATGAAGTGGCTTATCACGTGGACATTTTCTTAGCCAAATATTCTAACCGCGTGTTTCTAAATGTGGAGGGAAAACTGGAGGACCCGGAGAAAAAGCCATGGTACCATGGGAAAAACATACAAACTCCAAATATACAGGCATCAGGGTCGGGATCTAACCCACGACTTCCTGTATACCAGGCGAGGTAGTTAACATCTCACCACCCTGGTGCCCCCACGGTGGCCACGTGTGCCTACACGCACGTGGCAACTTATGATATGATTCACTTTCTGGGCAGTTGTGGCCAACACTGTTGTACATGTCATAAAATAAATAAACTGTAGGTTATATATGCACATTCATTCATAAATGCATACATTTTATTTGAACGAGGCAAGGACCTGTTGGAGAGATTTCGTTTCCATTTTTCCAGTGTAATATATATTTTAGGTTCAGAATATAAATGCTATGAAATGACATTTGTTGGTATAGACGAGGTTATTGTGCACAATGAGTTGACGATCTCAGCCCAATCACCAACGATTTCACACATTATAGTAGCATTGCAAAAACAATTATTACGTTCAATTTGGTTTTCACTTTAACATATTTCGAGTTCTGAGGACTTAAAGATATTTATTTACCTGCCATGCAATTCGCAAATCTTTAGCGAAGTGTGTGAGAAGGCTCAGCACACCTCATGTGGGTGAGAGGCAATTGAAGAGTATTTGGCTACTATACATTTCCACACGATAAGCCACTCTGTTGAGCTATCATTTATGGCCAGGTCGCTTCTAAAAACGAGCTCTATCGCTTAGTGGGCCTTGCCTGGTAAGGCCGTTCCCCAACGCAGGGTGACAGACTGACCATGATGCACTGCAAGAGTTTCCGATGGGAGTTTTGTTGCATCTCACGGCATAACTACAGTCGAACAATTGGGACGTGACTGAGGGAAAAGATGAAACAAACCAAATATTGCGTACTATTGCAGCCATTTATCAGTCCACTGCTGGATGAGAACCTCCCCACACACCTCGTGGGTCCACGCTGGTCATTTCAGGTTTGCGAAGGTATAGAAAATAGCCGTGGGATCATAGAAGTACAGAACAATAATGGATTGTGTTACACTGCCCTTTGCTGCTCACAACCTAGGCCAGCAGCCTGTAACAACCTGCTTGATCCAGGCTCAACTCTGCTCAGCGTCCAAGAGCTGACGAGATCAGATGCTTTCCAAGTAATTTAGGTCAAATGTTATAATGATAGAAAATTACACGTGCCCCATTTTTACCACTCGCACCTCCCCTCACTTCCCTGCACGTACGTCCGTGGAACTTCTCTCGCAACGACCATGGCCAACCCGTGCGAATCATCCCGGCAACCGGGTAAAGGGGCCGTCCATAAATGATGTCACGTACCTGGGGGGGGGGGGGGGGGTCAGACATTTGTGACGATGTGTGACGAGGGGGGGGGGGGGGTGAGAAACGTGACGTCACATCAAAATGCGCAACTATAAATATAGACAACACGTTCTACTTAATTAAATAGACTTTTTTATAAATGTTTTCTCCTACAACATCAGACTGCAGCGCCACATTAAATACGCATTACAATGACAATAGTTTAAAGCGATTTGAAGCATGTTTTATTTTTGGGGGGGGGGGGGCAGAGCTTTGTGACGTCATATTTTAGGGGGGGGGTCTGACTTCTTGTGACGCCGTGTGATGATGGAACGGGGGGGTCCAAAAATCGTCCAAAATCGCGTGACGTCATTTATGGACGGCCCCAAAGCATGCGAATGCTGAGGTTTGTGCGACGTTTTGTTGTTGTTGCTGTGGGGCAGAGTCGGTCTCCGTCGCCGCTGTCTGTGCACGATGCGGTGGTGCGCACGCTGGCCCAGCTGTGGGACAGGGCCCGTCAGAAGGGTGGACTTGCCTTCGAGACGGCCGTCATCCACTTGCCGCTGCCCTCCGCAAAGGTCAGGCATTGTTGTGCTCGCCCAGGCCTTGCTGTGCTCGTTAGCCATAACGCAAGCGGTTCCACGAATTGCCACGAATCGCTCTCATATTTGCTATACTTCTTCTTCTTTAGTGCTGCCTAACGGCGTGTGCGACTTCACGATGATATTGGTCCCGGTCTAGCACGGCATGTAGAGTTTGTGCTGTTGTTAATTGTAGCCATGTTTTGATGTTACTGAGCCATGTCCTTTTTGGCCGTCCTGGTCGTTTTTTCCCTTCGATTTTTCCTTCCAGGATTTGCTTTAATAGCTGGTATTTGTGGTCGTTTCGGGCAATGTGGCCTAGGTAGTAACACTTCCTGCTAATGATGGTATTCGCTATACAAGATCCAATAATTTTTTTGTCGATATTAATATCCATGATAGAGAGTTTGTTTGGGTTAGAGCGCGTAAATATAAACGCATCGTTAAACCCTGCCACCGCCTGACACAGCCAATTAGCAAGGGTTGTCACGTAAACAAAACATGCCAATTCGTTACGAGTTCAGCACATCGGTGTGTTGGAGAGTAAAACCCACAATATTTACAAATCGAGTACAACGTTTCGCCGGGTAATTACAACGAGCATCATCAAGCGAACACACAAACATCTCTATTATGGATAATATGGGTCGTGACAGCCTACGTGTTAAACATTATTAGCATCCCCACTTGTATTGCTACGTCTTCTCTGTACAGCCTCATCTGTTCGATTAACATTTGCATATCCTTTGAATATATTTTCTTGAATTGCAAATATAATATTCTCACGTGCATTATTTAATGCATGTACAGTGTATCGTGCAGTAATGCATTGTGCCACGCATAGTGATGTCCATTTCATGTCACGGGATAAAATCTCACCTGGTGTCACTTAAAGTCTGGGCTTATCCACCCCTTTGCTTTCAATAGAGAGAGGGCACCTAAGTCGGCCCTCATTGCCCTGGACATATCAGAACCCTCCTTAAATGTAAGATTTGCATCGAATTTCATGTTAATACAGTCTGCTTTGCGAAAAGTGCGTTGAGGTAGACACGCCATTAATTGCCATTTTAGAGTTCATCAGATGTGCCTAATGCTCAGAGAGCCAGTCCAAGACACTCCTCCATAAGATATTAGACGATACTCATTGGAAAGGAACTAAAACTGTAGTATATTACAAAGAGAAACACAGGCTGCTGGGAAATCTAAATTTTCAAGGGCCGCTATGGGTATCAATTAATTGATTGATAATGTGAATGAGCTTTCAGCAGCATGGTATAGTGAATCTGTGGGGAAAAAAACAGACCACCTATTGCCACGATGGCTGTGAAACAGACCAGCCTATGAATCATACACCACCACCACCACCACGTGTTACTAGAGTGACACTTCTATTATAACATTGATAACACAAAATCCTATTTTGCGTGCATCAGTTCTTCCCATTATTCCCAAATGTCTATGGATAAGGGGATTGAACGGAAGTGGCATCATATTCACACAACCATCTGCGTTTCTCCAATGATCGGAAATAATTTCCATACATAAATGTGCACAGGATCTGCCATTAGTGCCCCCCCTCCCACCCACATCACCACAGATGAGATGAGGTTTAGAGTATTTCTCCGAGAGACAGGGTCATACTCGTATATTATTTAAACGAGACATCATCCTGTTCGCATTTTGTAATACATGGATTACAGTGCAGATGTCTTGTGACCCCCCCCCCCTATTTAATTCTCTAAAAGTTAACATTTTAACAGTAAGGTAAATTTAAAACAGAAATGAATGTGCAAAGGGAAAATAATGTTCGAGGTTGGAGGTCACAAGACATCTGGAGCACCTTGTAGAGTGTATCCATGGAGGAAAGCCATTTGGAGACAGCTGTCGGACAGTTTTCTAGAAGCTCGCGCGATTAAACGCCCGCTTAAAGGAATCAAATCAAATTGTAATTTTCTTCTTTTTTTCTCCAGGCATGGTGTGGCTTCGTATACACGTTCTAACCTGAATATGGCCATTAACAAAATAAAGTGTGTCCCGCCGTTTTCCTCAGTAGAAAGGCCCCGTCGAAAATGTCACGAAGCGCCTTAAGTTTGCGAAGTCTTGTGTCTGCTTCCAGTCTCTGATTGAAGCAATTCGCGCGGTCCCCCCTCTCTGCATTGCAGGACGTTGAGTTCCTGAGGCAGCAACTGGGAGAGGTGTGTTTTTTCGACGTTTTTGGATTCGATGAAGAGGCCGGCAGATGGGGTTGTTACATGTGTAACCACCCAGACAAAGCCCTTGGTAATACACGCCCCCCTCCATTTACCATACAGTACCCATTGCCGTGTGTTGTACTCACCTAACTACTGAACACACAGCATTCGACTGGCACAAATATTACGTCGAATCGAGTTGTGAAATGTTCTGTACTAAATCTGTTGCTGCTTAATACACAGCAGAGGTATTTCAATTCGCCCTCACCGAGTGTCTGGAAGGAGTGCTATTCGCGAGTGCCTATCAAAGATGGTGGGTCGAGCCAAATAACGCAGCCACCTTTGTCTCTCTGGGACTAATTTTCAGCTGAGTTGACCTAGGGGAGGCCCATGCCGTTCAAAAGCAGTTCTCCTCAAGTGCCCCCCCCACCACCAACCTCTTCTTGCCACATCCCTTCGGTGGGAGATCAAAACCGTTTCAGGGGGTGGGTGGTGGGTTGATGAGAAACTACCTGTATCCAAACACGCCCTAGCACACACTTGCGCACTGATCGACTGCACACACACATGCACACACCACTGATAGATTACTTTAAAGTCCGAGAGATAGCACCCCGCTCACAGCAAACCACACGCACCGACTTTAACGGTAGCCAAGAATCACGTCTGCGAGATCTGCAGGAGAGAAAGCACGCTGAGGTGCATTAATCAGTGCGTTGGGCCTTCATTGACCTCACAGTTCTACCACAGCTTGCTTGTATTGTAAATTCTATATATAAAGACAAAAATACAGATCCCCGGCATAGCCTTCACAGACTGTCGGGGCAAGTGTTCGTGAGCGCATATGCAAGGCCAGCAGGGCACACGTGGCCAGCACGACACCTGGCCGCCTTTGTCTTCTCCGGTACTCATTTGAGACTGAATCGACCTAGGGGAGGGCCTGGACCTGATTCGGATAATTGTCACTGTGTGTTAGTGGCCGTGAGCGGGAATCGAACTCAGGTTGGCAGGTTCGTAGAGCAGCACGCTAACCGCTACACTACCGCTCCCCACATTAATGTACTATATATATTCTATATATATACATTTACACACAAACACAATCTGTAGAAGCTTGGTCAGCATCAGTAAAATCCATCGTGACAATCGGAAATGTACTTCGAGCTGGGTGGTCTGGTTCCTTTTGAGCGTCATTAAAGTGCATCACTTCAGAGACTTACAAGGCCGTACATTGTTCCTCCTAACATCGTCACGGTTAAGAACGTGCACGAAAAATGTGCCCAACATAACATTGACCGTAAAGTAAGGGGCCATCCATTGAGTAGGTACGCAAAAATCTGTCAAAACCTGACCCCTTCCCCCTCCCTATACGCACGCAGACTTTTTACACCCCTTCCCCACCTACGTGCCTGACGCACCCCCCCCCCCGAATCCTATAGAACGGCCGATATTTAATCCATGCAGAAATGATCAAGGATTAATAATATTCACGTGTTTAAGCAAACAGATAGTCCACTCATTTGAAGGCCAATGTAGACAAATTATTATCGAGGCTTCACCCCCCCGCCCCCCGTTTCCTATCCGTACATTGTCAGTAGACCCCCCATACGCAAGCGTATGCATTTGGGTTAACCCCCCTCCCTCCATGCATACGTACTAAATGGATGGCCCCTAACAAAAAATGTTTGTGCACTAATCATCCACGGTGATTTTGCTTACGTTAAGCCCTCCACCGCGTGTTAGCTTTTAACAATCGCTAAAGTGTGTGTGTGTGCTTGGATGTCATTGACAAGAGCCAACGCAAACAGCAAAAACCGCACATTTTGATTGTGCTGATTTCACGAAGTAAAATATTGCTGTTTAGTATATGAACATTAGGTTTATCAATCGTGCGTGCAGTATTTAGCGAGGCCGTCCGTATTTAGAGGATACAAATCTATAGATCATTTAAAATACTCTATAGACAATACACTAGGTACTTAACACAGATTATTTGGCGATTTCTGCATTGGCAGTGGCGCACAAGCAATATGTAAAATAATAATGATAATAACAAAAAGCATTCGTCAATATAATATTCTTAACACATTCCTGCGGAGGGAGCTTGTAGGAACGTTGGGTTGCTCGGTCAATGGCCAGGGTCAACGGCGGCGTGGTGTATTCTGCTAATATGGCCGACTATGAGGGTGGGCACAAGCCGGCGTGAGTAGGTTAAACGTTGCGTTTTATAAGGGCATCACGGGGTGACCAGCCCCTCCCCACCCAGCCCCACCCCTCCCACCCCCCACCCAGCCCCACCCTCCCCACCCAGCCCCTCCCCTCCCCACCCAGCCCCTCCCCACCCTCCCCACTCAGCCCCTCCCCACCCTCCCCTCTCCACCCAGCCCCACCCCTCCCATTTTTGGATGCACGACGGACGGACACAATAATCCCCTGTGGGCTGGTGTAACCAGGAGGTTCCTACCAGTATAAAGGAATATATATTGGTGACGTTTCAGCCAATGGCCGCTGTCCAAAAATGTGCCTATTATATTTTGTTCAAGGCAGTGTTATTGCTCAGAATGTGTTGAGGATCATAAATACTTTGACTCGAGCAAATCCTAAAATTACTACCAAAAAATAGATATCCTCGACAGGACCTTGATAACCGATCAGCGACAGCTCACTCTGAGCAGTAAACTCTTCTAGCACTGACCATGCCCAACCCAGGCATCTCCTAACCTTGTCCCTTCGCTGCCAAGATGTGAACCAGGAGGGAAGGCCGCTCATGGAAGGGAAGCTCAAGGAGAAGCAGGTGCGGTGGAAGTTCATCAAGCGCTGGAGAACGCGATATTTTACTCTCGCGGGCAACCAGTTGCTCTTCCGCAAGGGGAAATCGGTGAGAAAACCTCCTTCGACGCCGAATAACAACACATACACACGTACAGCTCCAGCATCGGTGGTCGCCCGTTTGTGGGCAATTCTAATGGATCTGCCATTCCATCACACATCTCATCCACCAGTCATCTTGCCTGCTAGTCATGTCCTGCTCAAGCCCACTGACTTCCCCTCGTAAGATCGTGCTCGTTACACACAACGTGCTTGCCACAAATGAACCGCAATACCTTGCTGAGCATAAACCATCACGCGAACTCCGGTCATCCTCGCAGCAGGTTTTTGATAACCATCGATCAAAGACGGTCACTGCATCACGTGCTTTTTGATGTGCTTCTGCGGCCGTCTGGAACGCTCTTCCGATATTAGGAAGCCACTGGAGCTATACACTTTTAAACCTAAATTGCAAACTAATTTCTTTAGAACTGTTTTTTGTGTTTCGTTTGTTGTCCTTCCTCCGCACTTACGATTACCACGGTTGGCTGCGTACGGTGCGAAAGAAGCTCAACATACACACGTACAGCTCCACGCCGTCATTAAATCAACCAATGCTGTTGGCACAGTCAGCCTTTAACTTCCCACTCATGGGCAAAGACCTCCACCATTGTCTGTTCCATTCCATCCTTCCCTTAGTTTTCTTAATTAATACAACCCAATACTTGATAATTGGTTCTTTACCCTTCTATCTGGCAACAAAACTGACACCTTTTTGCAAGGAGTCATGTTTGCATAGACCGCAATACCTGCAGTCATAAATACAAACAAAAGACATAACTCTGATAATGTGCACTGTCCTTGAAGTTGATTGGTCCACACCCGAGACAGCTTTCCTTCGAGCCTAGTCTCATATGGGTTGGACCAGATGACGCCAAAAGGCGCACAACTCAAGGACAATGTACCATCAGAGTATGAGAGCTCGGGGCAAGCATCTACACTATGGGGACCTCATTTGCCAGTAAAAATATGATAATTGGTTCTTTACCCTTCTATCTGGCAACAAAACTGACACCTTTTTGCAAGGAGTCATGTTTGCATAGACCGCAATACCTGCAGTCATAAATACAAACAAAAGACATAACTCTGATAATGTGCACTGTCCTTGAGTTATGTCTTTTGTTTGTATTTATGACTGCAGGTATTGCGGTCTATGCAAACATGACTCCTTGCAAAAAGGTGTCAGTTTTGTTGCCAGATAGAAGGGTAAAGAACCAATTATCATATTTTTACTGGCAAATGAGGTCCCCATAGTGTAGAAACCCAATACTTGTTTTTATAAAATACAAAAAAAAGACTCCACTGAGATTGGTTATCACTTTTGAGGAATACGATTGGGTCAGGGTAATTGCATAGAAATATACGCTGCTAAATATGTTTTTATTTTAGTAATCCGTTGAGAACTCACATCAGATATGTTTTTTTGCGTATGTTTTTGTGGGCCATTCTTTTTTTTTTTTACATTAAACGTAAAATGTGTTTTGAGAAAATAAGTAAGACATTGCAGATGTGAAGTCAACAACATCCATCTTTTAAACTGACAATCAATTTAGAGATTGTTAATTAGTTGCAGGCCATTTTGAAATGCAGCACTTAACATGCCTCACACACGGAACAGCATCGGCGGCATACATTGTGAAAGAGAGCTTTATAGCTTCAGAGCTCTACTGGACATCTGTAAAACAAAGAACTGTATAGATCATAGGATTCCTCCAGTGTAAATAAATATTCTGATTGTGAATGACGGCCACATGGACTTTCCATGCCCATGGTCCAGCATGCATTTCACTTTCGCAACAAGGCCACACAAACTCACCAATTCTATCCCTGTGCCCAGGCCCATATTTTCTATATATTTTTATTCACAGTTTCTAAGCAGCCTAAATACCAAGCAGCTAGCAACAAGCAGCATTATTGAAGTCGTAATAGATTAGTGCTAATAAGTTCCTTGACTTGAATTAAAACTGAACTATTTTTATTTGACCAGGTAAGGCTCACTGAGCTATATAGCTCTTTTTCAGAAGCATTCTGGCCACAAATGAAAGCTGAACGAAGTGGCTTATCACGTGAAAATTTATATCAGCCAAATACTCGCATGTTGATTCTAAATGTGGAGGGAAAAACTGGAGGACCCGGAGAAAAATCCACGTGACCATGGGGAGAACATACAAACTCCAAATATACAGCAGGCATCAGGGTCGGGATCGAACCCACGAGTTCCTGTATACCAGACGAGGTAGTTAACATCTCCCCACCCTTGACCCCTCAAATGGCCACGTGTGCCTACACACACGTGGCAACTTGTGACAAGACACACTTACCGGGCAGTCGTGGCCAACACTGCTGTACACGTCTTAAAATAAATAAAATGTAGGTTAAGTACGCACATTCATTCGTACATGCATACGTTCTATTTAAACACGTGTCTCTCAGAAGGACGAGGGCGAGGAGTGCCCTCTGGAGCTGAGCAAGGTGCAGAGCGTGCGAATCGTGAGCCGCAAGCGCAAGGAGCGCGGGCTGCCCCGCGCCTTCGAGATCTTCACCGAGAGCCGCTCGTACGTGCTCAAGGCGTGCGACGAGCGCGACGCCGAGGAGTGGCTGCAGTGCCTCAACGTGGCGGTGGCGCGCGCGCACGAGCGCCAGAGCCAGGAGACCACCACCTACCTGTGACGAGGGGCACCGTCAGGCTCATAACGGTGGTGCGCACGTGGCAGAGGCACGTGGCCCGAGGGCTGCCACCTGTCGATGTAGAAGAAGAAGATGAAGACATATCATAGGAGGAAGAATATGACACTTTGTTGCAAGAGGGGAAATCAGGACAGATGGCAACCATACCTGGGATGTGCGGCAGGGCCAGAGTGATAGCTGCGCGGGTGGAGCAGGTGACAGAGCCCGTGCCCGGGAGGCAGTCTTCAAATTGTGCCGTTAGGTGCCGCAGCTGTGCGCCGACCGGCGAACCTTAAAGTTTGGTTGGAGGCCCTGTGTGTCCCCTGCATTGGTCCTTCGCGACGGCTAAGCAGCCCGGCTCCACAGCTGCTGATGTTTCTCTGAGAGGGGACTCACAAGTCTGTGTCATGTACCAGAGCTAACGAATGTGTGAGGCTCAGCCGGGTAGGGGGAAGGCGCAGCTATATGGCCAAGGGCATCGCAGAACTTGAGGTCACTTCATTGCCACCGTGTAGCTTCAAGTTCACTCACGGACTAGTTTTCAGGCCACATTGAAGACAATCACACGGTGTTGGCTTCATCAAAAGACTTGCCTGTCTCAGATTGACTATTGTGTCTTGTCCATCAGGTTTGTGGGAAATATATGGAATTGGAGGAATGATTTTGGGAACATAAATCTATCACAGATTTTATTAAATACGTATGTTAAGCTTAAATAATTTTCCGTTTAATGTTTTTGGTTTTTAAATTTTAACAATAATGGATTTGTTCTATCCATATGCTTGCCAGAGTCTGCTTCCTGTCCCACAATGATGGGACACAAACGCTCTGCAGTTTGTTTTATTGGTCGTTAGGGATTCGTGTGACTGTGAAACTTAAACAGCTGAGCTTTAAATCCATGTTTAAATACATAATGTCTCATTATATATATGTCGTGCAACTGCTAGTTATACCCGTTGTGACAAAGAGCACTTTATTCAAGGGAAGGAACAAGTATAAACCCCTTTAAATGAACAAGCGAGCTTTCTCCACTTACATTAGCTATGTTAATTTGTAATCCACGTAGATAGCTGTACATTACAAAATGGTTGTTGTATTTTATTTGCATATATGTCAATAACACAATAACTGACAATAATGACAGCGTCAAATGTGTTATTCTTGAGCAACACATTGGCTTATAGAATCGTGGATGTTAATAATCTTAACGGACTGATATCACCATTGGAACCTCCTTTGCCAGTATCAAAATATGATCATTGGTTTTTTACCCTTTTATCTGGCAACAAAATTGACACTTTTTTTTACAAGGAGTCATGTTTGCATTGACCACAATACCTGCGGTCGGAATGCAAACAAAAAACACAACTCTGATCATGTATACACTGTCCTTGAAATTGATTGGTCCACACCCGAGACAGCTTTTCTTAGAGCCTCGTCTGCGCCTTTTGGCGTCATCTGGTCCAACACCATGTGAGACTAGGCTCTAAGAAAAGCTGTCTCGGGTGTGGACCAATCTATTGCAAGGACAGTGCATACATTATCAGAGTTGTGTTTTTTGTTTGCATTCCGACCGCAGGTATTATGGTCAATGCAAACATGACTCCTTGTTAAAAAGGTGTCAGTTTTGTTGCCAGATAAACGGACTGATATCACATGTTTATCACAGCTCAGTCGGTAGAGCAGCAGAGCTCTCTATCACTAAAATATTCGCTGGAATCCAGTTCAGGTCATCTCGGCCCATCATCACTTTAGGGTTGATGAAATGAGCAATGCCTGGCGAGGCTGTGCATCTCTGGTAGGAAGTCAACAGTGGATGCAATATGCAGACATTAGGTCCAACCATCTACACGTGTAATTTCCATTTTGACATTGTCTTAATGCTAACCAGTGGAAAAAAGAACAATCCTGAACTAATTTTATACTTTCATAAAGTATTTATTACTTCCATACATAATGTATTAATAGGAAAACAGTTATTTTTCACGGATCCTATTGAACAGGGGCGGTTTCTTCATTAGGGCGATTGGGCGACGCACCGCCAATAGCAAGGTAATATCCAATTGTAGCGAGCGACTTCCGAGACACGACTTGTAGAGGGCTCCTTGTTTATTTCTTACACTTTACAGGCAGAGTCACTGAGCAACATTTACACTGGGCTACGTATAGCTGACACCAGGGGCGGTTTCTTCATTAGGGCGATTGGGCGACGCACCACCAATGCCATTGAACCACAGAGTTACGCGAGCCGTCACTGTGCCTCTGGATATAGTCCAATCAGCGTCATGTCACGTTCTGTGGAGTACTACCTCTCTTTGGGCGATTTCACTCTGGCTGAGAATCGCCCAGAGTGTTCCCATAGACTTACATTAAAAGATGTTTTTTTTCGAACGGCGGGCACTCCAATGCATTCTCTATGGCTTCCGGGAGGACTCGCACTAACGTGCTTACGTCATCATACGTAAGCACGTTTCATCCAACAATATAATTTGTCGCCACCTAGTGGAATCTTTAATAAAATAAACTTGAGTGGATTGTATTAATAGTGAGTATAGAAACAAACAAGATGTATTGTAAGAGTCACTTTATTTTTCATTAATATTAAAGAAGTGAAGTTGCCTTTACATGCTTAAGCTGTTAATTTATCCATTGCATGGGTGGACCTTATCCTTATCAATCATCCAGACATTTGCCCCCCCTGAGAGATTTTGCAGGAGCCGCCACTGCTATTGAACACAATCTTTATTGAAAGATGTGCGTAAATACTGCATTGCTGACAAATAGGTGTCTCTCATGTCTCTTAGTTCCTCCACTCAGAACTATTGTTTAAGGGTGTAGTGGGACGTATGTATGGTGAACTTCTTTTGCACCGTACGAGCCAACCGTGCTAATCGGAGGTGCGGGACGAAAGGTCCATGCACTCACTGTGCACTGCATGTCAATTATTATTTATTATTATTTAATTTGACGTGAGATGAAGCTCAAAACACCACTTTAAAGGTCAACCGTGTTCTTAAATACATTTGAGAGCACACATATACATTAACTGTAAATTACCTATCCTAATCATCTCTGTTTACTTACACGTGTTGTCTCAACACCGAAAACTGACAAAATCACCACAATATAGAATGATACTGGTAGGAACCTCCTCGTTACACCAGCCCACAGGGGATTATTGTGTTCGTCCGTCCGTCGTGCATCCAAAAATTGGAGGGGTGGAGCTGGGTGGAGAGGGGAGGGTGGGGAGGGGCTGGGTGGGGAGGGGCTGGGTGGAGAGGGTGGGGCTGGGTGGGGAGGGGCTGGTCACCCCGTGGTGCCCTTATAAAACTCTACGTTTAACCTACTCACGCCGGCTTGTGCCCACCCTCACAGTCGGCCATATTTGCGGAATACACCACGCCGCCGTTGACCCTGGCCATTGACTGAGCAACCCAACGTTCCTACCAGCTCCCTCCTCCGCAGGAGGAATGTGTTTGAATATTGGGGTGGAGCAGTGGCGCAACGGCGAGCACGCTGCGCTGTGATCCTCTCCGATTTGAGTTTGATGACTGGCCACAGCTCTGGCGTCAGTGTCGAGTGACATCTGAGCCAGTCGTGGGTACCCCCCTCTCACGAACTGACACTGACCAGCACGGCGGAGTATTGAACAACCAACCCCCGTGACTGACAGCATGGGGAAGGACTTGATCCAGCAAATAATTGACACATAGGACTGTACATGTACAAGCTATAACACAGCAATGTGATTTTTTTTACATCGTATATATGTTTTAAACTGTGTGTGAATGCTCACTAAACATTTTTTTAAGCATTCTGAAATATTTGTATACACTTTGAGCCACGGATATGCAAACCCATTTGAGAGCAAAATGATGACTTTAAGATGATCACGCTTGCTGGCCACAACACTCGTACAGCCGAATGGGCATTTTCAGTTGCGTTGCTGTCACAAACCCATCGCAGAGGCGTTAAGCCCAGCTCAATCGTCCATGAAGAAGCATGGCAATGATCGCTCCTCTCTGGGATGAGTTAAGGATTTCATGCCATTTCATATCTGCAGCAGGATCTCGCAAGCTGTCCAACCGTGCCAATATCGTTAAGCAACCTCAGAGATGGAGCTCTGCCTTGTGTCTGTGTTCATGAATTTCAACCAAGGTGTGTACAAGGACATTGAAATGAGCACATTTTATTACAATAGTACGATTTTGGGCCATTCAGACCAAAGTATATACAGTACTACAATTTCCCATTACTACTCAGACACAGAATTACCCAACTATCTAAAATCGCCCTTGCATCCCACAGCAAGACATTCATAAATATTAGTCTCGAGTCCACTAATAATCATATTAGTACTCCTATCTGCAAAGCCAATGCGGTGCAAGCAGCTCGTATTTTATGAAATGCACGATAACTCAGTTACTCGACAGACTGTGAATAATTCTCTCCTGGTTTGTTTTTACGGCAAATGCATGTATGTATTAAGATATAAAATGGGTGGAAAATAGTTGTTACACCCTTAAAATAAATGCTGTGTGCCAGGATAGAAAGAGGTCTTAATGTTACAGTTTGGTTTATGAACGGACATTTGTAAAACAGCAGCACATGGACTGTTAACATATTGATCTAAGTACTTATTGTAATGTTGGTTGAAATGTATTTTATTAATCTAACATTTTTATGTATAGGTAATTGGTGTCACGATTAAACGTCTTTGTACAAATAGTGAGATGTTTATATTCTTGAGGGTTTTCTTCGTAGATGAAGTGGAAATGTGTGTAAGTAGAAATTCGTGTTTTTAAGTTCATAATGACTCGTGTAGCAAGCTGTTAACATGCTTTTGTTGCTCATGAATACACGCCTTAGAAAATGTTCGTACTTTAATCCACAATTACTGTACTGTAATAATATGATATGGCATAGCACACTTGAATCTTACTTTGGATTAATGGACACTTATCGTAACGAAATGTATTTTTTAAGTATATTATTGTTAAAAGTAAATGGTTCCACTGTACTGTATATGTGTATATTTTTATATCTATGAGAACCTTAATCAAGATATATAGTCCTATGTTTGGTGTGTAATTAGACATTGGAGGAGACTTAAGAGGCCCCTATTAAATATAAAACTACATTTACGGTCCTGGAAATAGAAAAAACATACGCTCGTTATACGACCGTTACTTTCTTTACCACTTTGTTTCTACTATGATTAGGCTTACTGTGTTACTGTGAAATTGACTGTTATTTATGTGCGTAAATAGAAAAAATTCATGTTTTTACACCAGCTTATGCAGTGACCTCTTTAATTTGAAGGGTGAAACGCCTGTTTGATTTACATTATATTTGGAAATGATACTATTAAAAATAACATTTCAAGGGTTAAAGGTATAATATGGTTTAGAAAAAAATGTAATTGCATTAGGCGTGGGTTATGTGCCCAATGCAATCAAATCGTAAATTACGTTGTCAAGAGAGATGGAGCGATAAGCTGAGCTCGTGTGCGCGGGAAACAAAGAGCGTCATTCTAATGCCGTGAGGGATGGCAACGGTGTGGCCTTCGTCTAGCAGTGGATGTATCATGGCTGGTAATGATGATGTTGATGTTTTAGTAAGACGTTTTGAAGGACAAACGCCCTCTGATAGCTCCAAGTGGATGGAGTGGTGGCGCATTGGTTAGCGCACAGCTATGCAAACCCGCTGAGCACTGAGTTTGAACATCGGTTGTGAGCGATATTGGGAACGATGTTTGTCACGTGATGTAACAGTGGCATGTACCGAGACTTAGTTCGTAGCTTTTGGCATTGCCATTTTGTCGCCAATGTGTGATCAACTGCGTATTTGTAAAAGAAGCAGATATAACATTGTCTCGCTTTAAATATCTGCACCTCGTATTCGTTAAAAATGAGACTCACACCTCTCTGTGGCATCAGGCGCATAGAGTTACAAAAGCGTTTCGTTTTTTTTTTAACGAAGGCGAACATTCAAAATGAGTCGGTTTTCAAGACGTTTGAAGCGTGGAAAAGTACAAAATCTGTACGGAAAATTAATAATAACTACCCATGGGGTGTGTGAACAGTGACGCCCATGCAAAAAAAGCAAGGCTTAAAAAATGCAGTGACTGTAGTTATATTCACGATGATTGGGAGGTGTTTTGGGCCCATGCTTGCACATCACTGCCAGCGCAGTCCCTTGGGTTTTTACTTGCGTTTGAGCAAATAATCCCTACGAGCCACAGTTTTGTGAAAAACAACATAATAGTAATGGTTTCTTTGGTAAAAA